ACGGTGGGTTGAACACACGGTGGGTTCAACACACGGTGGGTACAACACACGGTGGGTTCAACACACGGTGGGTTCAACACACGGTGGGTGGAACACACGGTGGGTTGAACACATGGTGTGTTGAACATAAGGTGGGTTGAACACACGGTGGGTTGATCACACGGTGGGTTGATCACACGGTGGGTTGATCACACGGTGGGTTGATCACACGGTGGGTTGAACACACGGTGGGTTGAACACACGGTGGGTTGAACACACGGTGGGTTGAACACATGGTGGGTTGAACACACGGTTGGTTAAACACACGGTGGGTTGAATAGACGGTGCGATGAACACACGGTGGGTTAACACACGGTGTGTTGAACACACGGTGGGTGGAACACACGGTGGGTTGATCACACGGTGGGTTGAACACACGGTGGGTTGATCAGACAGTCGGTGGAACACACGGTGGGTTGAACACACGATAGGTTGAATACACCGTGGGTTGAACATACGGTGGGATGAACACACGGTGGTTTGAACTCACGGTGGGTTCAACACACCGTGGGTTCAACACACGATGTGTTGAACACACGGTGGGTGGAACACACGGTGGGTTGAACACACGGTGGGTTGAACACATGGTGGGTTGATCACATGGTGGGTGGAACACACGGTGGGTTGAACAGACTGTGGGTTGAACACACGGTGGGTTGAACACACGGTGGGTTGAACACACGGTAGGTTTAACACACGGTGGGTTGAACACACGGTGCATTGAACATTCGGTGGGTGGAACACACGGTGGGTTGAAAACATGGTGGGTTCAACACACGATGCGTTGAACACACGGTGGGTGGAACACACGGTGGGTTGAACACACGGTGGGTTGAACAAAAGGTGGTTTGATCACACCGTGGGTGGAACACACGGTGGGATGAACACACGGTGTGTTGATCACACGGTGGGTTCATCACACGGTGGGTTGATCACACGGTAGGTTGAACACACGGTGGGTTGATCACACGGTGGGTTGAACACACGGTGGGTTGAACACACGGTGGGTTGATCACATGGTGGGTGGAACACACAGTGGGTTGATTACACAGTGGGTTGAACACACGATAGGTTGAACACACGGTGGGTTGATCACACGGTGGGTTGAACACACGGTAGGTTTAAGACACGGTGGGTTGAACACACGGTGCATTGAACATTCGGTGGGTGGAACACACGGTGGGTTGAACACACGGTGGGTTCAAAACACGGTGGGTACAACACACGGTGGGTTCAACACACGATGCGTTGAACACACGGTGGGTGGAACACACGGTGGGTTGAACACACGGTGGGTTGAATACACGATAGGTTGTACACACGGTGGGTTGAACACACGGTGGGTTCAACACACGGTGGGTTGAACACATGGTGGGTTGAACATACGGTGGGTTGAACACACGGTGGGTTGAACACACGGTGGGTTGAACACAAGGTGGGTTCAACGCACGGTGCGTTGAACACACGGTGGGTGGAACACACGGTGGGTTGAACACATGGTGGGTTGAACACACGGTGGGTTGATCAGAAGGTGGGTGCAACACACGGTGGGATGAACACACGATAGGTTGAACACACAGTGGGTTGAACACACGGTGGGTTGAAAACACGGCGGGTTGAGCACACGGTGGGTTCAACACACGATGCGTTGAACACACGGTGGGTGGAACACACGGTGGGTTGAACATACGGTGGGTTCAACACACGGTGCGTTGAACACACGGAGGGTGGAACACACGGTGGGTTGAACACAAGGTGGGTTGAACACATGGTAGGTTGAACACACGGTTGGTTGAACACAAGGTGGGTTGAACACACGGTGGGTTGAACAAACGGTGGGTTGAACACACGGTGCGTTGAACACACGGTGGGTTGAACACACGGTGGGTTGATCACACGGTGGGTGGAACACACGGTGGGTTGAACACACGATAGGTTGAACACACGGTGGGTTCAACACACGGTGGGTTCAACACACGATGCGTTGAACACACGGTGGGTCGAACACACGGTGGGTTGAACACACAGTTGGTTGAACACACGGTTGGTTGAACACGCGGTGGGTTGAACACATGATAGGTTGAACACACGGTGGGTTGAACACACAGTGGGTTGAACACAAGGTGGGTTGAACACACGGTGGGTTGATCACATGGTGGGTGGAACACACGGTGGGTTGAACACACGGTGGATTGCACACACGATAGGTTGAACACACGGTGGGTTGAACACACGGTGGGTTGAACACACGGTGGGTTGAACACACGGTAGGTTGAAGACACGGTTGGTTGAACCCACGGTGCGTTGAACACACGGTGGGTGGAACACACGGTGGGTTAAACACACAGTGGGTTGAGCACACGGTGGGTTGATCACACGGTGGGTTCAACACACGGTGGGTTCAACTCACGGTGCGTTGAACACACGGTGGGTGGAACACATGGTGGGTTGAACACACGGTGGGTTGAACACACGGTGGGCTCAACACACGGTGCGTTGAACACACGGTGGGTTGAACACATGGTGGGTTGAACACACGGTGGGTTGATCACACGGTGGGTGGAACACACGGTGGGTTGAACACACGATAGGTTGAACACACGGTGGGTTGAACATACGGTGGGTTGAACACACGGTGGGTTGAACACACTGTAGGTTCAACACACGGTGGGTTCAACACACGATGCGTTGAACACACGGTGGGTCGAACACACGGTGGGTTGAACACACGGTCGGTTGAACACACGGTGGGTTGATAACACGGTGGGAGGAACACACGGTGGGTTGAACACACGGTGGGTTGAACACATGATAGGTTGAACACACGGTGGGTTGAACACACGGTGGGTTGAACACACGGTGGGTTGAACACACGGTGGGTTGAACACACGGTGGGTTGAACACACGGTGGATTGAACACACGGCGGTTTTAACACACGGTGGTTTCAACACACGATGCGTTGAACACACGGTGGGTGGAACACACGCTGGGTTGAACACACGGTGGGTTGAACACACGGTGGGTTGAACACACAGTGGGTTGAACACATGGTGGGTTGAACACACGGTAGGTTGAACACACGGTGGGTTGAACACACGGTGGGTTGAACACACCGTAGGTTGAACACACTGTGGGTTGAACACACGGTGGGTTGAACACACGGTGGGTTGAACACACGGTGGGTTGAACACACGGTGGGTTGAACACACGGTAGGTTGAACACACGGTGGGTTGAACACACGGTGGGTTGAACACACCGTAGGTTGAACACACTGTGGGTTGAACACACGGTGGGTTGATCACATGGTGGATGGAACACACGGTGGGTTGAACACACGGTGGATTGCACACACGATAGGTTGAACACACGGTGGGTTTGAACACACGGTGGGTTGAACACACAGTAGGTTGAACACACGGTGGGTTGAACACACGGTGCGTTGAACACACGGTGGGTGGAACACACGGTGGGTTGAACACACAGTGGGTTGAGCACACGGTGGGTTTATCAAACGGTGGGTGGAACACACGGTGGGTTGAACACACGGTGGGTTTAACAGACGGTGGGTTCAACTCACGGTGCATTGAACACACGGTGGGTTGAACACATGGTGGGTTCAAAACATGGTGGGTTCAACACACGGTGCGTTCAACACACGGTGGGTGGAACACACGGTGGGTTGAACACATGGTGGGTTGAACACACGGTGGGTTGAACACACGGTGGGTGGAACACACAGTGGGTTGAACACAAGGTGGGTTGAACGCATGGTAGGTTGAACATACGGTGGGTTGAACACACGGTGGGTTCAACATATGGTGGGTTGAACAAACAGTGGGTTGAACACACGGTGGGTTGAACACACGGTGGGTTGAACACACGGTGAGTTCAACACACAGTTCGTTGAACACACGGTGGGTGGAACACACGGTGGGTTGAACACATGGTGGGTTGAACACACGGTGGGTTGATCAGAAGGTGGGTGGAACACACGGTGGGATGAACACACGATAGGTTGAACACACGGTGGGTTGAACACACGGTGGGTTGAAAACACGGCGGGTTGAACAGACGGTGGGTTCAACACACGATGCGTTGAACACACGGTGGGTGGAACACACGGTGGGTTGAACACATGGTGGGTTCAACACACGGTGCGTTGAACACACGGAGGGTGGAACACACGGTGGGTTGAACACAAGGTGGGTTGAACACATGGTAGGTTGAACACACGGTGGGTTGAACACAAGGTGGGTTGAACAAACGGTGGGTTGAACACAAGGTGCGTTGAACACACGGTGGGTTGAACACACGGTGGGTTGAACACACGATGGGTTCAACACACGATGCGTTGAACACACGGTGGGTGGAACACACGGTGGGTTGAACACACGGTGGGTTGAACACAAGGTGGGTTGAACACAAGGTGTTCCACCCACCGTGTGTTCAACCCACCATGTGTTCCACCCACCGTGTGTTCAACGCACCATGTGTTCCACCCACCGTGTGTTCAACCCACCGTGTGTTGAACCCACTGTGAGTTGAACCCACCGTGTGTTCAACCCACCGTGTGTTCCACCCACCATGTGATCAACCCACCGTGTGTTCAACCCACTGTGTGTTCAACCCACCGTGTGCTCCACCCACCGTGTGTTCAAAGCACCGTGTGTTCAACCCACCGTGTGTTCAACTTATCATGTGTTCAACCCACCGTGTGTTCAACCCACCATGTGTTCCCCCCACCGGGTGTTCAACGCACCGTGTGTTCAACCCACCGTTTGTTCAACCCACCGTGTGTTCAACCCACCTTGTGTTCAACCCACCGTGTGTTCAAGCTACCGTGTGTTCAACCCACCTTGTGTTCAACCCACCGTGTGTTCCACCCACCGTGTGTTCAACGCACCATCTGTTGAACCCACCGTGTTTCTGAACCCACCGTGTGTTCAACCCACTGTGTGTTCAACCCACAATGTGTTCCACCCACCGTGTGTTCAACACACCGTGTTGGGGAATGGGGCAGAATGGGGCAGGGTGATGGGAGGAGGGAGAATTGGGCGGGGTGATGGAAGGAGGGAGAATGGGGCGGGGTGATGGAAAGCGGGAGAATGGGGTGGTGTGATGGAAGGAGGGAGAATGGGGCGGGGTGATGGAAAGCGGGAGAATGGGGCGGGGTGATGGAAAGCGGGAGAATGGGGCGGGGTGATGGAAAGCGGGAGAATCGGGCGGGGTGAAGGAAAGCAGGAAAATGGGGCGGGGTGATGGAAAGCGGGAGAATGGGGCTGGGTGATGGAAAGCGGGAGAATGGGGCGGGGTGATGGAAAGCGGGAGAATGGGGCAGGGTGATGGAAGGAGGGAGAATGAGCCAGGGTGATGGAAGGAGGGAGAATGGGGCGGGGTGATGGAAAGCGGGAGAATGGGGCGGGGTGATGGAAAGCGGGAGAATGGGGCAGAGTGATGGAAAGCGGGACAATGGGGCGGGGTGATGGAAAGCGGGAGAATGCGGCGGGGTGATGGAAAGCGGGAGAATGGGGAGGGGTGTTGGAAAGCGGGAGAATGGGGCGGGGTGATGAAAAGCGGGAGAATGGGGCGGGGTGATGGAGAGCGGGAGAATGAGGCGGGGTGATGGAAAGCGGGAGATGGGGCGGGTGATGGAAAGCGGGTGAATGGTGCGGGGTGATGGAAAGCGGGAGAATGGGGCGGGGTGATGGAAAGCAGAAGAATGGGGTGGGGTGATGGAAAGCGGGAGAATGGGGCGAGGTGATGGAAAGCAGGAGAATGGGGCGGGTGATGGAAAGCAGGAGAATGGGGCGGGGTGATGGAAGGAGGGAGAATGGGGAGGGGTGATGGAAAGCTGGGGAATGGGGCTGGATGATGGGAAGCGGAAGAATGGGGCGGGGAGATAGAAAGCGGGAGAATGGGACGGGGTGATGGAAGGAGGGAGATTGGGGCGGGATTATGGAAGCAAGGAGAATGGGGCGAGGTGATGGAAAATGGGAAAATGGGGTGGGGTGATGGAAAGCGGGAGAATGGGGCGGGGTGTTGGAAAGCGGGAGAAGGGGGCAGGTTGATGGAAAGCGAGAGAATGGGGCGGGGTAAAGGAAAGCGGGAGAATGGGGCGGGCTGATGGAAAGCGGGAGAATGGGGCGGGCTGATGGAAAGCGGGAGAATAGGGCGGGGTGATGGAAGGAGGGACAATGGGGCGGGGTGATGGAAGGAGGGAGAATGGGGCGGGATGAAGTGGGAGAAAGTGGCGGGGTGATGGAAAGCGGGAGATGGGGCTGGGGTTATGGGAAGCAGAGAATGGGGCGGGGTGATGGAAGGAGGGAGAATGGGGCGGGGTGATGGAAAGAGGGAGAATGGGGCGGGGTGATGGAAAGCGGGAGAATGGGGCGGGGTGATGGAAAGCGGGAAAAAGGGGCGGGGTGATGGAAAGGGGGAGAATGGGGCGGGGTGATGGAAAGCGGGGGAATGGGGCGGGGTGATGGAAAGCAGGAGAATGGGGCGGGGTGATGGAAAGCAGGAGAATGGGGCGGAGTGATGGAAAGCGGGAGAATGGGGCGAGGTGATGGAAGGAGGGAGAATGGGGCGGGGTGATAGAAGGTGGGAGGATGGGGTGGGGTGATGGAAAGCGGGAGAATGGGGCGGGGTGATGGAAAGCGGGATAATGGGGCGGGGTGGTGGAAAGCATGAGAATGGGGCGGGGTGATGGAAAGCAGGAGAATGGGGCGGGGTGATGGAAAACTAGAAAATGGGGCGGGGTGATGGAAAGCGGGAGAATGGGGCAGGGTGATGGAAGGAAGGAGAATGGGCCAAGGTGATGGAAGGAGGGAGAATGGGGCGGGCTCATGGAAAGCGGGAGAATGGGGCGGGGTGATGGAAGGAGGGAGATTGGGGCGGGGTGATGGAAAGCGGGAGAATGGGGCAGGGTGATGGAAAGCGGGAGAATGGGGCGGGGTGATGGAAAGCGGGAGTATGGGGCGGGGTGATGGAAAGCGGGAGAATGAGGGGTGGTGATGGAAAGCGGGAGAATGGGGCGGGGTGATGGAAGGAGGGAGAATGGGGTGGGGTGATGGAAGGAGGGAGAATGGGACGGGTGATGGAAGGAGGGAGAATGGGGCGGGGTGATGGAAAGTGGGAGAATATGGCGAGGTGATGGAAAGCAGGAGAATGGGGCGGGGTTATGGAAAGCAGGAGAATGGGGCGGGGTGATGGAATGCGGGAGAATGGGGCGGGGTGATGGAAAGCGGGAGAATGGGGCGGGGTGATGGGAAGCGGGAGAATGGGGCGGGGTGATGGAAAGCGGGAGAATGGGGCGGGGTGATGGAAGGAGGGAGAATGAGGCGGGGTGATGAAAGGAGGGAGAATGGGGCGGGGTGATGGAAAGCGGGAGAATGGGGCGGGGTGATGGAAAGCGGGAGAATGGGGTGGAGTGATGGAAAGCGGGAGAATGGGGCGGGGTGATGGAAAGCGGGAGAATGCGGCGGGGTGATGGAAAGCGGGAGTGGGGTGGGGTGATGGAAAGCGGGAGAATGGGGCGGGGTGATGGAAAGCGGGTGAATGGGGCTGGGTGATGGAGAGCGTGAGAATGGGGCGAGGTGATGGAAAGCGGGAGAATGGGGCGGGGTGATGGAGAGCGGGAGAACGGGGCGGGGCGATGGAAAGCGGGTGAATGGGGCGGGGTGATGGAAAGCGTGAGAATGGGGCGAGGTGATGGAAAGCGGGAGAATGGGGCGGGCTGATGGAAAGCAGGAGAATGGGGCGGTGTGATGGAAGGAGGGAGAATGGGTCGGGGTGATGGAAGGAGAGAGAAGGGGGCGGGGTGACGGAAAGTGGGAAAACTTGGCGGGGTGATGGAAAGCGGGAGAATGGGGTGGGGTTATGGGAAGCGGGAGAATGGGGCGGGGTGATGGAAAGCGGGAGAATGGGGCGGGGTGATGGAATGAGGGAGAATGGGGCGGGGTGATGGAAGGAGGGAGAATGGGGCGGGGTGATGGAAAGCGGGAGAATGGGGCGGGCTGATGGAAAGCAGGAGAATGGGGCGGGGTGATGGAAGGAGGGAGAATGGGGCGGGGTGATGGAAGGAGAGAGAAGGGGGCGGGGTGACGGAAAGTGGGAAAATTTGGCGGGGTGATGGAAAGAGGGAGAATGGGGTGGGGTTATGGGAAGCGGGAGAATGGGGCGGGGTGATGGAAAGCGGGAGAATGGGGCGGGGTGATGGAATGAGGGAGAATGGGGCGGGGTGATGGAAGGAGGGAGAATGGGGCGGGGTGATGGAAAGCGGGACAATGGGGCGGGGTGATGGAAAGCGGGAGAATGGGGCGGGGTGATGGAAGGAGGGAGAATGAGGCGGGGTGATGGAAGGAGGGAGAATGGGGCGGGGTGATGGAAAGTGGGAGAATGGGTCGGGGTGATGGAAAGCGGGAGAATGGGGCGGAGTGATGGAAAGTGGGAGAATGGGGCGGGGTGATGGAAAGCGGGAGAATGGGGCGGGGTGATGGAAAGCGAGAGAATGGGGTGGGGTGATGGAAAGCGGGAGAAAGGGGCGGGGTGATGGAAAGCGGGAGAATGGGGCGGGCTGATGGAAAGCGGGAGAATGGGGCGGGGTGATGGAAGGAGGGAGAATGGGGCGGGGTGATGGAAGGAGAGAGAAGGGGGCGGGGTGATGGAAAGTGGGAAAATGTGGCGTGGTGATGGAAAGCGGGAGAATGGGGTGGGGTTATGGGAAGCGGGAGAATGGGGCGGGGTGATGGAAAGCGGGAGAATTGGGCGGGGTGATGGAATGAGGGAGAATGGGGCGGGGTGATGGAAGGAGGGAGAATGGGGCGGGGTGATGGAAAGCGGGAGAATGGGGCGGGCTGATGGAAAGCAGGAGAATGGGGCGGGGTGATGGAAGGAGGGAGAATGGGGCGGGGTGATGGAAGGAGAGAGAAGGGGGCGGGGTGACGGAAAGTGGGAAAATTTGGCGGGGTGATGGAAAGCGGGAGGATGGGGTGGGGTTATGGGAAGCGGGAGAATGGGGCGGGGTGATGGAAAGCGGGAGAATGGGGCGGGGTGATGGAATGAGGGAGAATGGGGCGGGGTGATGGAAGGAGGGAGAATGGGGCGGGTTGATGGAAAGCGGGAGAATGGGGCGGGCTGATGGAAAGCAGGAGAATGGGGCGGGGTGATGGAAGGAGGGAGAATGGGGCGGGGTGATGGAAGGAGAGAGAAGGGGGCGGGGTAACGGAAAGTGGGAAAATTTGGCGGGGTGATGGAAAGCGGGAGAATGGGGTGGGGTTATGGGAAGCGGGAGAATGGGGCGGGGTGATGGAAAGCGGGAGAATGGGGCGGGGTGATGGAATGAGGGAGAATGGGGCGGGGTGATGGAAGGAGGGAGAATGGGGCGGGGTGATGGAAAGCGGGAGAATGGGGTGGGCTGATGGAAAGCAGGAGAATGGGGCGGGGTGATGGAAGGAGGGAGAATGGGGCGGGGTGATGGAAGGAGGGAGAAGGGGGCGGGGTGATGGAAAGTGGGAAAATTTGGCGGGGTGATGGAAAGCGGGAGAATGGGGTGGGGTTATGGGAAGTGGGAGAATGGGGCGGGGTGATGGAAAGCGGGAGAATGGGGCGGGGTGATGGAATGAGGGAGAATGGGGCGGGGTGATGGAAGGAGGGAGAATGGGGCGGGGTGATGGAAAGCGGGAGAATGGGGCGGGCTGATGGAAAGCAGGAGAATGGGGCGGGGTGATGGAAGGAGGGAGAATGGGGCGGGATGATGGAAGGAGAGAGAAGGGGGCGGGGTGACGGAAAGTGGGAAAATTTGGCGGGGTGATGGAAAGCGGGAGAATGGGGTGGGGTTATTGGAAGCGGGAGAATGGGGCGGGGTGATGGAAAGCGGGAGAATGGGGCGGGGTGATGGAATGAGGGAGAATGGGGCGGGGTGATGGAAGGAGGGAGAATGGGGCGGGGTGATGGAAAGCGGGAGAATGGGGCGGGCTGATGGAAAGCAGGAGAATGGGGCGGGGTGATGGAAGGAGGGAGAATGGGGCGGGGTGATGGAAGGAGAGAGAAGGGGGCGGGGTGACGGAAAGTGGGAAAATTTGGCGGGGTGATGGAAAGCGGGAGAATGGGGTGGGGTTATGGGAAGCGGGAGAATGGGGCGGGGTGATGGAAAGCGGGAGAATGGGGCGGGGTGATGGAATGAGGGAGAATGGGGCGGGGTGATGGAAGGAGGGAGAATGGGGCGGGGTGATGGAAAGCGGGAGAATGGGGCGGGCTGATGGAAAGCAGGAGAATGGGGCGGGGTGATGGAAGGAGGGAGAATGGGGCGGGGTGATGGAAGGAGAGAGAAGGGGGCGGGGCGACGGAAAGTGGGAAAATTTGGCGGGGTGATGGAAAGTGGGAGAATGGGGTGGGGATATGGGAAGCGGGAGAATGGGGCGGGGTGATGGAAAGCGGGAGAATGGGGCGGGGTGATGGAATGAGGGAGAATGGGGCGGGGTGATGGAAGGAGGGAGAATGGGGCGGGGTGATGGAAAGCGGGAGAATGGGGCGGGCTGATGGAAAGCAGGAGAATGGGGCGGGGTGATGGAAGGAGGGAGAATGGGGCGGGTTGATGGAAGGAGAGAGAAGGGGGCGGGGTGACGGAAAGTGGGAAAATTTGGCGGGGTGATGGAAAGCGGGAGAATGGGGTGGGGTTATGGGAAGCGGGAGAATGGGGCGGGGTGATGGAAAGCGGGAGAATGGGGCGGGGTGATGGAATGAGGGAGAATGGGGCGGGGTGATGGAAGGAGGGAGAATGGGGCGGGGTGATGGAAAGCGGGAGAATGGGGCGGGCTGATGGAAAGCAGGAGAATGGGGCGGGGTGATGGAAGGAGGGAGAATGGGGCGGGATGATGGAAGGAGAGAGAAGGGGGCGGGGTGACGGAAAGTGGGAAAATTCGGCAAGGTGATGGAAAGTGGGAGAATGGGGTGGGGTTATGGGAAGCGGGAGAATGGGGCGGGGTGATGGAAAGCGGGAGAATGGGGCGGGGTGATGGAATGAGGGAGAATGGGGCGGGGTGATGGAAGGAGGGAGAATGGGGCGGGGTGATGGAAAGCGGGAGAATTGGCCCTCAAGGCCCCATTCTCCCGCTTTCCATCACCCCGCCCCATTCTCCCGCTTTCCATCACCCCGTCCCATTCTCCCGCTTTCTATCACCCCGCTCCATTCTCCCACTTTCCATCAACCCGCCCCATTCTCCCGCTTTCTATCACCCCGCCCCATTCTCCCCCATCACCCCACCCCATTCTCCCCCATCACCCCACCCCATTCTCCCGCTTCCCATCACCCCGTCCCATTCTCCCTCTTCCCATCACCCCACCCCATTCTCCCGCTTTCGATCACCCCACCCCATTCTCCCGCTTTTTATCATCCCGCCCCATTCTCCTGCTTTCCTTCACCCCGCCCCATTCCCTGGCTTCCCATCACCCTGCCCCATTCTCCCTCTTCCCATCACCCCGCCCCATTCTCCCGCTTTCCATCACGCCGCCCCATTCTCTCGCTTTCCATCACCGCGCCCCATTCTCCCCCATCACCCCACCCCATTCTCCTGCTTTCCATCACCCCGCCCCATTCTACCTCTTTCCATCACCCTGCCCCATTCTCCCGCTTTCCATCACCCCGCCCCATTCTCCCGCTTTCCATCACCCCGCCCCATTCTCCCTCTTTCCATCACCCCGCCCCATTCTCCCGCTTTCCATCACCCCGCCCCATTCTCCCGCTTTCTTTCACCCCGCTCCATTCTCCCGCTTTCCATCACCTTGCCCATTCTCCCGCTTTCCATTACCCCGCCCTATTCTCCCGCTTTCCATCAACCCGCCCATTCT